TATCATGTTTGGTAGTTAAGTAAGCCTTCCAGTGCTTCTTTGTATATAAAAATATATTTTTATTTTCTCCCCTTTCTTATACACACAGCAATTTTTTTCTATGCTTATTTTCACTTAATGGTAGTTTCTGTAGATTTCTTCATTTCATTACATAGAAAAGTTCCTCATCTTCTTTATAGCTGCATAATGTTCCATTGCACAGAATATTTATTCAGCCCAGTAGCCTGTGACTGGACAATTGGGTTGTGTCCCATGTTTCATTACTACTAACAGTGTTCACTGAATCACTTGAAAGTATGTCTCTTCATATGGTACAAGGGTATCTGCAGAAGGAAAGTTGCTGGGTTGAAGGTCCATTTTGTAACTTGGTAGACATTGCCAGATATTCCTCCACAGGGGAAGAATGCCCTTTAGTATGGTTAGCTTTGGGATCATGTGCCTGTTTTACTGTAAAAAACATGTCTGTGGACTGTGTGTGGTGGCTCACACCTGTAATATCAGCACTTTTGGAGGCCAAGGTGGGAGGATTGCTCCAGCCCGGGAGTAGGAGATCAACCTGGGCAACATGGCAGGGCCTTGTCTCTACAAAGTCTCTACAAAAAAAATCAAACAAATGAGCCAGACATGGTGACACAAGCCTGTAGTTCCAGTTACTCAGGAGGCTGAGGTGGAAGGATCGCCTGAGCCCTGGAGGCTGAGGCTGCAGTGAACTGTGATTGTGCCACTGCGCTCTGGGCAACAGCAAGACCCTGACTCAAAAAGAAAAAAAAAGTCTTTGGTGGTTCTGATGATTGTTTGAGACTGAGAACTCACCTACTCTACTTTCTCTTGACCAGAGGCTCTGAGGAAATGAGGAGAGGAACGGTTAAAAATCAAAACTTTCCACATGCTTTTAAAGCATGCACACACCAAACATTCCGAACAGCTGCTCTCTGAAAGCCCAGGAGAACTGAGAGACTGAACTGGGAGCTCCTGGGCTAGCCTGCAGTTGAGGATGAAGACATGCTGGTGTGGCCACCTAGCTGCCTGCGCAGCAGCCTCCTGATGGAGAGCAGCACCCTGGCTCAGGAAAGACTCAGTTTCAGTGGCCCAGGGGACTGAGCGGGGAAGACTCTTCAGCACTATTGAAGATAAGAGCCTGAGCTGGGCCGGTGCGGTGGCTCATGCCTATCATCCCAGCACTTTGGGAGGCAGAGGCAGGAGGATCACCTAAGGCCAGGAGTTCAAGGCCAGCCTGGGCAACATACCAAGATCTCACTTCTACAAAAAAATTCTTAAAATTCCCCAGGCATGATAGTGCATATCTGTAATTCCAGCTACTTGGGAGGCTGAGGGAGGAGGATCCCTTGAGCCCAGGAAGTCAAGGCTGCGGTGAGCTATGACTATGCCACTGCACGCCAGCCTGGACAACAGAGTGAGACCTTGACACACACACACACACACACACACACACACACACACACACACACACACACACACACACACACACCCCTGAGCTGAAGCAGGAAGGCCATGCTCAGAGGGATCTGTCTGTCTGCATTATGGCTTGACAAGGCTGCCCTGAAAGAGCTGTAGCTATTTTATTACCCTGGATAATGGAGTATTCTTATTATAAATTCACGGTGAGGAAAAAAAAATCCTCACCTCCAGGGCCAGCCAGCTGTCTGTGTTTGGAGCACTCAGTTGTACTTTCCACTCTTACACTACGTGAGGAACTACCCCAAGCCATCAGGAAATGTTCTGCATTCATCATGAGTCTAGAATGTGCCCGGAAAAGTAAGTCACGTCCAGGGCAAACAGGAGAGTCCAGCTCTGCCTTCAGCCTGTTCTGCAGCTATAATTTCAGTTAACAACATTTTCCCATTGTTCAAAGATTTTGTCAGCACTTCTGCCAACAAAAAGACAGGCAAAATTCCCTTCATGTTTGAAAGCTTACTTGAGAATATAGCAACGCAGTGTAGGCAGAAAAAACATGGGACTTACTGTCGTAAGATGACATTTTTAGTCTGGCTCTTCCACTTATTAACAGTTGGTCTCGGCAAGCCATTAACCTTCTCACCTCTTCATTTCCCTGGCTGGTAAATGGGAATAATAACAGCTGCCTTAACTAACCGAAAGGGCAGTTCTGAGGATTTCTTTCCAAAGAGAAATGCTGCAAAAATGCTTTATCAAAAAATGTGTGTGATCTGTGCCCAATTATAAAAGGCATTATGTGTTTTGGGGCCTTAATAACTTTGACGCATATTCATTGTAGAAATTTTACTAAGCAAAAAGGTTTGAGTAACTCAGAAACGTGAATGGTTCTTATAGAAAGCCACTGCTCACCTCTCCTCAGTATCAAGCTTTTATTACTTACTTTTTAAGTCAGAGTCTCACTCTGATACCTGAGCTGGAGTGCAGTGGCATGACCATGGCTCACTGCAGCCTTGATCTCCTGGACTCAGGTGATTCTCCCTCAGCTTCCCAAGTAGCTGGGACTACAGGTGTGCACCACCATGCTCAGCTAATTTTCTTTGATTTTTTTTAAAGATGAGGTCTCCACTGTGTTGTGCAGGCTAGTCTCCAACTCCTGGACTCAAGAAATGATCCCACCTCAGCCTCCCAAAGTGCTGGAATTATAAGCATGAGCCACTGCACCCAGCCTCAGTGTCAAACTTTTAAATTTGACTCAAACTTTTAAGTTAAGACTCTGACTCTATTTTCACAGGATTGCAAACCTTCTAGTTCCCCAGAAGCCACCCAACCTTATAGATGGCAATGCCATCCTCAGCTCTTCTGTCCTATTCATATGGACTCTTTGTATCAATCCACTAGCACATCTTATAGACTCTATCTTCAAAATACAGCCACTTCTCACCAGCCTGGCCTGAGCCACCAAGATCTTTGCAGAAGGCTGCTTCCAGCTCCCCACACCCCATTCTGTGCAGAGCAATCTTTTAAAAATAAAGTCAAGCCAGGCGCGGTGGCTCACACCTGTAATCCCAGCACTTTGGAAGGTGGAGACTAGAGGATTGCCTGAGCCCACGGGTTGGAGACCAGCTTAGACAACTTGGTGAGACTTCATCTCTACAATTAATCAAAAAATTAGCCAGGCATGGTGGTGTACATCTGTAGTTTCAGCTCCTTGGAAGGCTAAGGCAGAATGATCACCTGAGCCCAGGAGGTGGAGGCTGCGGTTGCCATGAGCGTGCCACTGAACTCCAGCCTGGGTGACAGAGTGAGACTCTGACTCAAAAAAATAAAAATAAAAGTAAATAAAGTCAAATCCAGGCTGGGCACTCATGTCTGTTATCCCAGCACTTTGGGAGACCGAGGCAGAAGGATTGCCTGAGGCCAGGAGTTTGAGACCAGCCTGGACAACCTAGCAAGACTTCATCCCTACAAAAAAGAAAAACAAGCCGGGCTCGATGGCTCAGCCTGTAATCCCGCGCCTTTGGGAGGCTGAGGTGAGTGGATTGCCTGAGCCTGCAGGTTCGAGACCCGCCTGGGAAACTTGGCGAGACCTCATCTCTACAATAAATAAAAAATCAGCCGGGCGTGGTAGCGCGCACCTGTAGTTCCAGCTACTTGGAAGGCTGAGGCGGAAGGATCGCCGGAGCCCAGCAGGTCGAGGCTGCGGTGGCCGGGAGCGGCCACTGCACTCCAGTCTGGGCGACAGAGTGAGACTCTAACTCAAAAAAAAAAAGAAAAGCAAAAAAATTAGCTGGGTGTGGTAGTGCATGCCTATAGTCCTAGCTATTTGGGAGGCTAAGACAGGAGGATCACTTGAGCCAGAAGTCTGAGGCTACGGTTAGCTGTGATCACGCCACTGCACTCCAGCCTGGGTGACAGAGTGAGACTCCGACTCAAAAAAATAAAAATAAAAGTAAATAAAGTCAAATCCAGGCTGGGCACTCATGTCTGTTATCCCAGCATTTTGGGAGGCCGAGACAGAAGGATTGCCTGAGGTCAGGAGTTTGAGACCAGCCTGGACAACACAGCAAGACCTCGTCCCTACAAAAAAGAAAAACAAAAAAATTAGCTGGGCGTGGTAGTGCATGCCTGTAGTCCTAGCTATTTGGGAGGCTAAGACAGGAGGATCACTTGAGCCAGAAGTTTGAGGCTTCGGTTAGCTGTGATCACGCCACTGCACTCCAGCCTGGGTGACAGAGGAAGACCATAAAAAAAAAAACCAAAAACTCCATCCCTGCCAGGCTCCAGATTGCTCCCATCACACTGGTCTCCTTGCCTTTCCTGAAATGTGCTAGGAGGCTCCTACCCATGTAGTTTGCAAATACTCTTCTTTCTTGCCAGTAACACTCTTTCCCAGACATCACCACTCACTTCCTCTCTCCCTGCAGGGCTCTGCTCAGTGGCCTCTGATCTGATGCACCATGTAAAATAACAAGCCCTTCCCATGCCCGCTCCCAGCGGCTACCCTCTTTCCCCTAATTCTGCTCTCCCTCCCAGGGCACTTTTCCCACCTGACAAATGTATTTGTTTGTCTGTTTCTTATCTTCCCCACAACTCTGCCTCCCTGACACCTGCTGCCAAATATACGCTTCACAAAAGCAGAAACTGTTTTATTCATTGCTATATCCCCAGTGCCTAAAACTCAAGAAATGTCTGTTGACTGACTAAGTAAATTAATGGATTACCTAAGTGTGATATATACACGTACCTAAGTAGATATGTAGATAAGTTGTTATTATAGTTATATGATAGCCAATGACATTAAATATATTTACCAAATTTATAGGTCATTTATATCTGTCCTTTTATAAATTGTCTTTTCATGACTTCCGTTCATTTTCCCTATGGAATTGATTATATTGTTTGATTTGCATGTGCTCTGCATATGTTTAGAATTTTTGCTAGTAGACATCTTTTCTGAAATATGCACTCTGGGTTAAGGCACTAGTTTAACTTAAGGTGTCTGAAATGTCTCTTATGACTGAATAAGTCACTCATGCAGGGACCATTTTCTCCTTCTGTTTCTCCAATTCCAATTTGATTCTCAGAGTTGGATGCCTGTGCTTTGGGGGACCACGGTTGTGAGCATTCTTGTGTCAGCAGTGAGGACTCGTTTGTGTGCCATTGCTTTGAAGGGTACATACTCCGTGAAGATGGGAAGACTTGCAGAAGTAAGTAACCAGTGTTAGCTCATACTGCCATGTCAGACCACAGTATGAAATCTGCTGTCCTCATCTCTGCATAAATCAGGTATTCTCAGCCGGACGCAGTGGCCCATGCTTGTAACCCCAGCACTTAGGAATGCTAAGGCAAGAGGATTGCCTGTGCCTAAGGGTCCAAGACCAGTCTGGGCAACTTGGCGAGACCTTGTCTCTACCATAAATCAAAAAAATTAGCCTAGGCATGTTGGCATGCACCTGTGGTCCCAACTACATGGAAGGCTGAGGTGGAAAGATCGCCGGAGCCCAGCAGTTTGAGGCTGCAGTGCCATGAGCGTGCCACTGCACTCTAGTCTGGGCAACAGAGTGAGACACTGACTCAAAAATAAATAAATAAATAAGTAAAATTAGTTACTCTCAAAAGTTAAAGCCACATGATAAATGTAATGTGGCCTCTTGGATGGGTCCCAGAACAGAAAAAGGACATTAGGTAAAAAGTAAAATACATGCCAATAAACTATAGACTTTAGTTAATCATAATGTATTAATATGGGTTCACTAATTATAACAAATGTATCATACTAATGTAAGATAATAATAGGGGAAATTAGGTGTGGAGTATGTGGGAATTCTCTGAACTATTTTCTCAATTTTTTTGTAAATCTAAAGCTGTCCTTAAAAAAAAGGCTATTAAAAAAACAAAACAAATTAACAAACAAAAAATCAATGCTAGAGCTACAACTGAAGTTGCTCATTTATATGCTCTGCAGCGAGAAACCATGACTTAGAAAAAAATCATAATAATATGATAAAATAAAAATGAGCAAAACAGTGGCTTAGCAGCATACATTAGTGGGAAGATAGTCAGAAATCTAAGATTCAACCAACTTCTATCTCTGCCATTTATTAGGTGGGAAGGTTGCTTAACTTCTCTGAGCCTATTTGTCTATCTTGAATAATGTTATTTTTATTTCTGGTAGCACAAATCCCTCATAGAGGGCACCTTATTAGTGAAGCCATTCTTAAGTATCAGAAGGCAAAGCCTCTTAGATGGGCCGTGACAAGTCTGCCTAGGATGAGCAGCCTCGGGGTGAATTGCTGGGGTGAATCTCAAAACACACCTCTGTATAGTCAAAGGAGAGTGTGTGACCCTGAACAAGTGACCTCCACCCTATCTGTTACCTTCTCTCAAGCTTCTCAAAGCACTTTTTTTTTTTTTGGAGTTGGAGTCTCACTCTGTCTCCCAGGCTGGAGTGCAGTGGCACACTCACAGCCACCCCAGCATCAACTCGCTGGGCTCCAGCGATCCTTCCGCCTCAGTCATCCAAGTTGCTGGAACTACAGGCGTGCGCTACCACACGCTAATTTTTTTCATTTTTTTATTGTAGAGATGCAGCCTCGCTAAGTTGCCCGGGCTGGTCTCAAACCCGCAGGCTCAGTCAATCCACTCGTTTTAGCCTCCCTCCCTCCTTGGGATTACAGGCTGAGCCACCAAGCCCAGCCTCAAAGCACTTTTCAAAGAGCAACTGGTGCTATCACTTCCTGAAGCAAAACTGGAGGACTGGAATCATTCTTCTCATTTTTAGACAGCAAAACTAAGGATTCCAAGAGGTTAAGTGATTCTCCTAAGCCATACATTATGTGAGGGACAAAGCCAAAATTAGATTGCAGTGCTGCTCATGTAAATTGAGGTTTAATCTCCTAAGTAATCATACCCAGAGTGTTTCCATTTGATATTAGAAACTAGGTCTGCGGAAGCAGAAGATGGATCGCAATTTGAGGAGACACTAATACAGCTGCCAGTGAATGTTGACAGTGATGATGATAGTGAGACAGTTTGAAGCGTCAGCCCCAATGAGAACCGCTAAACCGTTCTCAGTGCTCTGGCCCCCTGGATCCCTGAGCTCAGGTGGCACTAGAGTCTAGTGGGTGGGTCCCCCAAGGTGAGTTGTATGTGAAGTTTACGTTGGTTGTATGGTTGTCACTTGCTCTGCTGTCCTCAGGGAAAGATGTCTGCCAAGCAGTGGACCATGGCTGTGAACACATTTGTGTGAACAGTGGCGAGTCCTACACCTGCAAGTGTTTGGAGGGATTCCGGCTCGCTGAGGATGGCAAACGCTGCAGAAGTGAGTAGCCTCAGGGTGGAGCGGGACTTTTCCACCTGTGGGACTCAGATAGTTCAGTAACTTCTTTTTTTTTTTGAGTTGGAGTCTCACTCTGTTGCCCAGGATGGAGTGCAGTGGCAAGCTCACAGCCACTGCAGCCTCAACCAGCTGGGCTCAAGTGATCCTTCCGCCTCAGCCTCCTCAATAGCTGGGACTACAGGAGTGCACTACTATGACTGGCTGATTTTTTTTTTAAATTGGAGTCTCACTTTGTTGCCCAGGCTGGAGTGCAGTAACACGCTTCTGGCCACAGCAGCCTCAACCTGCTGGGCTCAGGTGTTCCTTCCACCTCACCCTTCCAAGTAACTGGAACTACAGGCGTGTACCACCATGCCCGGCTAATTTTTTTATTATTTATTGTAGAAATGAGGTCTCACCAAGTTGCCCTGGCTGGTCTTGAACCCATGGACTTAGGCAATCCTCACCTTGGCCTCCCAAAGTTCTGGGATTATAGGCATGAGCCACGGTGCCCAGCCACCCGAGAACTTCTTTTCATCTTTAAAATCATCTCTTATTACCAATGTGACAAATATAAATTCCTGTCTTGGGTACTCTGAAAGTGTCCTGCTACAGATCAGTTCATCAGACCCCTGGTTCTTCAGGAATTTCTCAGTTGAGGTCCTGAGTTGTTAGGCTCTTGGCTTCTTTTCAATTTTCTCAATAGTTGGCCCTTTCCACAGCAGTAGTGTGGATGCCCAGAGCTTAGCACAGAGCCTTTGCACTGAATTAGAGTCTCTGCCAGCAATCACTACAGGGTTCGAAGGTTAATTATAGTACTGTTTCTCCTTGCAGACCTTATCAGTAAGGGTAAAGGGTGGGAGAGGGACTGAAGGGATTTTCTGTGGGTTTTATGTATCTATTCTTTCTATAATTGCTTCTGTGGATCTATAGGTCACTCAGAACAGACTCTGAGAGATTTTGTGTTTTTTTTTTTGAGTTGGAGTCTCACTCTGTCACGCAGGTTGGAGTGCAGTGGCACGCTCACGGCCACGGCGGTCTCAACCTACTGAGCTCAAGTGATCCTTCTGCCTCAGTCTTCCAAGTAGCTGGAACTACAGGTGTGCACCACCACACCTGGCTAATTTTTTTTTTATTTACTGCAGAGATGAGATCTCACCATCAGGCTGGTCTTGAACCCCTGGACTCAGGCAGTCCTCTCACCCCAACTTCCCAAAGTGCTGGAATTACAGACTTGAGCCACTACTCCTGGTTAACTCTCTGAGAGTTTAATTAGGTATATTAGTCAGAGTTCTCCAGAGAAACAGACTATAGAGGGTACATACTATTTATACATATGATGTATATATGTATATACACAGACACAGACACACACACACACACACAAACACACACACACGGAAACTGAGGGAGAGACTTATCGATTTTAAAGGATTGGCTCACATAATTGTGGGGGCTGGCAAGTCCTAAATCTACAGGTGTGGTGGCTCTAAATCTTGAACTGAAAAACCTGTCAAGAGTTGATGTGGCAGCTCAAGTCTGAAGGCAGTCAAGGTGTAGAATTCCCCTTCCTCGGGGGACCTCAGTTTTTCCTCTCTTAAGACGTTCAACTGAGTAACTGAGGTCTGCCTACAGTATGGAAAGTATCGTGCTGCCCTCACGTCTACTAATTTTAATGTTAATCGCATCTAAAAATTAGCCCGTGGTATCATATAGCCTGGGGTTTGACCAAACAGCTGGGCACTATAGCCTCACCAAGGTGACACATAAAATTAGCCTTCATAGAACCCAGAGGAAGACAAAGACATGGGCACCCTAGCTCAGTGAGGTGGGCATTAGAAGAGCACAGGACAGGGACATTTTCCCCACTGTGAGATTCTGAGCTGTTCATCAGGTATGTTGGAGGTTTTGACAATGTCTGCTTGCTTTTTTGACATTCTGCCACAGTGGGCAGGATGGTCATTTTTCTGTGAAGGCAAAATAAGTTCATTTGCTTTTGAGGTTGTTTTTTGGGGAATTTCCTCAGAGACTCCTTTGAGGTAGCTGGGGACGATCCACATGTCAATAAAGTTGAGTTGGAAGGAACTCACTGCCTCCCTTCTTCTGCCAGGAAGAGGGACTCCCACCTTTAACAAGAAGTCCAGTGTGAACAGCTTACTTCTGGATGCCTGTGGTACCCTGGCCTAACTCTGCGGGAATCCCTTCATAACCCTAGGTTCAGCTTCACACTGTAGTGTCCCTTCTGAGGCAATCACATCTATAATTCTGCCCATTGTGTCTGCTTCAGCCGTTTGTTCATGCTTTTATTTCGGTAAACATCTGCCTACTCACACCCACCATTTATTCATTCAACCCATTTATTGCTCAGTAAATTGGGCTATCTCCAGGCATGGTGGCCCACATCTGTAATCCCAGCACTTTGGTAGGCCGAGGACAGAGGATTGCTTGAGCCCAGCAGTTTGAGACCAGCCTGGACAACATAGCAAGACCTCACCTCCACCCCCCAAAAAAGCAAAAAAAAATCAACCATGCGTGGTGCTATTTGGGAGGCTGAAGGCAGAAGAATCACTTAAGTCCAGGAGGTCAAGGCTACGGTGAGCTGTGATCGTGCCACTGCACTCCAGCCTGGATGACATAGTAAGACCCTGACTCAAAAAATAAAGATAGATAGAAATAAATTGGGCTATCCTACACAAGGCACAACCTCTACTTCTGGAGTTTGATCCTAAATCAGATTCCACCATCCTAGAGGGATCTGTGCCCACTGATTCTGACTTGGTGTGAAGCCACTCCTCTTAGGGGCTAATGACAGAAGAGTCACAGGCTTTCATGCTGTGGGGGAGGGTGAGGGTCTGTTTCTCCATGGATGCATTGGGTGTCATTAGCCCCGCCTTTGTTGTCTCGCAGGACGTTGTAAGGGCCAAAGCGCTGTCTGTACTTGGAAGCGTGGAAAGTGTCTCCCACATGAGAAATGTTCATAAGACAATTCAAACTGGAGTGTTCGGGATGTCTGTGGAAAAAGAAATCAGAAGCAAAAGCACATCTAACAAGTCTAACATTTAATATTAGTCAAGGACACCCAATTAGCCATCCTACCATTGAGACTTGTAGGAGCTAGAGCTTTCTGAGAGAAGCTCTTTCCTTATGATGGTCTGTCCTGAGTAAGAGAGTAAAAAAGACATTATAAGGGAATTCTGAACAGAGATGAATTTTCTTAAAAAAAAGGAATTACTTAGCCAGGCGCGGTGGCTCACGCCTGTAATCCCAGCACTTTGGGAGGCAGAGGCGAGAGGATTGCCTGAGTCCACGGGTTTGAGACCAGCCTGGGCAACTTGGCGAGACCTCATCTCTACAATTAAAAAAAAAAAAAGCCAGGTGTGGTAGTGCGCGCTTGTAGTTCCAGCTACTTGGAAGGCTGAAGCGGAAGGATCGCCAGAGCCCAGCAGGTAGAGGCTGCGGTGGCTGTGAGCATACCACTGCACTCCAGCCTGGGTGACAGAGTGAGATTCTAATTCAAAAAAAAAAAAAGAAGAAATTACTTCTGTGAACTCTCCTCCTTTGGCTATTCAATACAGCTCGGTTCCTCACTGATAGGATTGTCCAACTCCCTACGTTTTCCTCAGGGAAGGATGTCTGCAAATCGACCCAGCACGGCTGCGAACACATTTGTGTTAATCATGGCAATTCCTACGTCTGCAAATGCTCAGAGGGATTTGTTCTAGCTGACGATGGAAGACGGTGCAAGAGTAAGTAAGCTGAACTTGGTTATCTGCTTTCATTTGGTTTTGGAGCCACTGCGTTTTGGAGTATTTTCAGGCAACAAATCCCTCACCTCTGTTTCTTCCATAAATATAAATGCATTTGCACAAACTCCGGGTGGAGAAGAGAGGGCTTAACTGCAGCACTTGTGAAAGCACTTTTAGATTTAGCTGACACTAACTCATTAGCAGCCAAAAGGCTAGAGGGATCTTAGGCTGAATAAGAGGATCTGAGCCGGCGCAGTGGCCCACATCTGTAACCCCAGTGCTTTGAGAGGCCGAGGCTAGAGGATCACTTGAGTCTAGGGGTTCAAGACCAGCCTGGGCAACTTAGCAAGAACTCCACTCTCAAAAAAATTTAACCGGTGAGGTGGCATGCACCTGTAGTCCCAGTTACTCAGGAAGCTGAGGCAGAAGGATCACTTGAACTCAGGAAATCAAGGCAGCAGTGAGCTGTGATCATGCCACTTCATTTCAGCCTGGTGACCCTCACTCAAAAAAAAAAAAAAACAATCTAGATGAGGGAAGTAGAATTGTGCTCTGCTCTGTGCTGGAGAATTACATTCAGTTTTGGGCATGGTACTTCAGGGAAAGAGGTTGATCAAAGATATAAACAACAACAACAACAAAAAAAAACCCACAAAAGAGAAGAAAAAATCTTGAGAAAATTATCTTATAATTTAGAGAAGATCTTTCTAAACACAACATGAAATTTAAAATCCATAAAAGAAAAAAAAAAAGAGAAAATATATAGTAAGAGGGTAAAGCTATGATGCCTTTTTAAAAACTATTAGTTATGAGAGATCAAAAAGTTTGATGATTCCTTATGATGGCAAAGGTATATCGTAACAGGGAATTATAAATGGATCAGTGGTTTTCTGAATTGGTACAACCTTTAGGAGGGCAATTTGGCAATATTTGAAATGCAATTCCACTTCTAGAAATTTATCTTCCAGATATGTGCATGTGTTTATAAAGCCATATGTACAAAGATATTTTGTGTAGTATTATTTGTAGAGGTGAAAAACTGGAAACAAGCTAAATGTTCACCCATAAGTGACTGGTTAAGTAAATTATGGTACATCTATACAGTTAGAATACGATGCAGCTGTTAACAAAAAAGAAGCAGCAGCAGCAGCAGCTCTAGATGTATCCCCAAAATATTTTAAGTGAAAAATCATGGTGCTGAATGATTTTTATAGTATGTTACCATTGACATATCATTTTGTAAAACACTCCAACATATTCTCTCTCTCTATATATATTTTCCTATATATATATATATATATATATACACATTATATATATATGTATATATATACCTTTTTACTAACATTTGTGTTTTGTTCCATGTGCATGTGTTACTTTTTAAAAAAAATTTAAAGAAATAGGATAGAGATAAACATGATTTAGACAGAATAAGCATAAGAATAGGCATGGTGAGGAAGTTCAGTACTATGTCAAACAGAAAAAAAAAGGAAAGAAATTGGTGATCTTTGCAGGAAAAAGAAAAAAAAACTTGAGGTGCCCAATACCAGTGTGACTGTCATCTCACTCATGATTTATATGACACCTCCCTTGTCCCTGGGAAAAGAAAGGACACTAGAGAAAAGCTACAGTTCAGCACTAGGACAAAGATACTTCCTACCTGGGAAGCTGCATGATGAATTCGTTCAGAACATGTGCTTTGGGTCAGACAGACCTGGATTTGAATCCCCCATTCATACTACTTGGGTGACCTTCGTCAAATTATTTAACCTCTTAGTCAAATTATAAAATTGGTGACCAGCCGGGCTCGGTGGCTCAGCCTGTAATCCCGCGCCTTGGGAAGCTGAGGTGAGTGGAT